CACGTCAACATTTGCCGCCGTTTGAGCAATTGCCAGGTTGGCCTATAATTTGACTACACTTAAACAATCTACAAATTCATTTGCATTTTCAAGATAGTGAAATAAACTGAGTGCCCTGGCCACAGTAGCGCAAAGGGTCATTCGCAACAACTGACAAGTCGTCTTAGAGAGCCGACCCTCCTCCCTGGCCCTTGATAGTTGCGGTGGTTTACAGGGTTACAAGATCGTTTCGTAAGAAACCTTGCAAGTTGAAGTAAAATATTGTATCTAAACTCCAAAGTCTCCAAAACGCGTCATTCTCAAGCCCAAAAGCAATCCTCATCGCAATTCGCTGAAATGGACGCGCTGAATTACGAAAAGGAGGACAAGCTTATTGTATCATTTCGTTGGAAGAAATTTTTTTGCTGAGAAAAAAAAATACTTCATCGCCTTTGTCCATTTTGAAAATAAAATGGTAGTGAGGAAACGCTTTGATAACATCAACAATAGCGGAAACAAATGACCGTGGCATGTTCTTGGTAGTAATAATAGATCCAAATGATACCAGTATTACTCCTTTTTCACCCTTCTTCATAAACTCACTGAATGGCTGCAAATGCACAGCTGCTGTTAGAAGCTTGTCGAGACCGAAATGGAAACTGCGCAATGATGTACATAAGAAATACATAGCAGCACACATCATGGTAGCTGGCTCGATCATGTTTTTTCGCAGCTCCGTCCGGCGGACGTTTGTCATTAAAAATTTTTATTGTTTTACAGTTTGGTGTGCGTGCCAGAAATAGTCAATGTGTTGTCTGATCCTTAAGCTGCGAAATTTTCCACAAGAGTACGAGAAGCGTGGACATACGTAAAAGCTGAAATTGAAACCTTTCGACTGCAAATGAAATGAGAACATCTTTTCAAAATTTGAATTTCCTAATTTTCAGGCTTCCAAGTGACTTTCGCATCAAAACCTTCACGTGGCCGTACGCGAGTCTTAGGCATATGTGGGGACTAAGCTCGAGACTGCTAGATACCTGTATAGGCAGAAAATGTTCTTTGAAACCTCAGTTCCTTAGCTCTTCTAGTTCCTGAGTTAGTAAATTTTTTTCCCAAAACTTCCACGAGGCCATACGTGAGACATACATGAAGGCTCAATTTGAATTTGCTAGATCGCAAGTGGGCACGGGACATCCCCATAAAACTTCAGCTTAGCTTTTGTCGTTCCCGAGTTGAAAGTGCGGAACAAAACGCACTCGGACTTACACACATACACACATACATACATACACGCAAACATATATACACACAACCTCTTGCCAATACGCGTTTTTGCATTCACATAAATTTACAAGAACACATAAAAATCACCTTGACTTTGGACCGAAAGACATGAATCAAGGTACAGTAAGGTTCTTGAAGCGTCTTCAGGATTTTCCGAATAATTAAATTTGGGTTTGTAATAATTAAATAAATTAATCTGCGGTGCATCTGCCGGCACGCACATAGTTATTTTTAAAAACTGGGATGAATTTTTTGCCTCGCAAGTTATTTACATTTGTGACTTACGCTTTCCAGTGCTTTTGCATCGGTTAAGCCTAATCCGCCAATGTAGACGATATTATGGGTGACTGGACGTGGGAAATCGACCAATTCATCAGTTGAAACAAGAATGAGGGAAGAATTACGCGCTAGATCATCAACGTCCGGAAATCTGTCCCTACAAATGACTCAGTTTTTAAGACAGTCTACAAACTGCCATTCCTTTCGCGTATTTTGTGTTGTCAAAAACTGAAAATGTGTGCGGAATGATAACATCACCTGACCAGTGCCGGCTTCCACATATTTATACTTTAAGTCTAGCCGCTGTCCTCTCAATCGATTCTTCACGTACAAAGTTAGTCTTTCCCCGTATCATTTTTTCCCGCGTCAAACTTCAGCATTTTCAGTGCCATATCAGTAAGGAAGCATTCGCTCCTCTTTTCCTGGTATGAGGCAAAGAAGGCACCAAAATTATTGACGAAAAAAGCGAAAAATTGAGTTAAATAGCAAAAGGTAGCCACAACTTTCGCCGAAGCACAAATCAGAAGGCTACCTGCTGGCACAAAATTTGACACAACTATCCACGTTGTCGCGGTCCAGCCCGGGGTGTGGTGTCTATTTCTTCAGTAAAAACACAGGATTTTTACCGACCGCCCGAACAACTTGATTAACAACTTTCGTGCAGAGGCTATAATTTATTATTTACTCCTTGCATTATTTTGCTACAATTTATTATTGAAGTTTGAAGTTAAATTGTCTTTGATACTTCGTTCGAACCTATTAGCTTATATTAAACTGATTTGTTACCGTGTAAAGAAAAATTTCGTTGAAAGGATTTAAGCAAACAATTTCATCAGAAAACCCAGGCTGGAACGCACCAGGCGAGCCGGTGCGATCATGCGTTTTTGCATCAAACTT